TGATGGAAAACTTCCCTAATTGGAGGAGAGAAAAAGTCACACAAGTCCAGGAAGCACAGAGGGTCCCATTCAAGAGGAACCCAATGAGGCCCACTCCAAGACACATCATCATTAAAATGGCAAATATCAAAGACAAACAGAGAATCCTAAAGGCAGCAAGGGAGAAGAGGTAGTAATATATAAGGGACCCTCGGTATGGCTAGCACCTGACTTCTCAACAGAACAACTGCAAACCAGAAAGGAGTAGAAAGAATTATTCAAGTCAGGAAAAGCAAAGGCCTGCAACCAGGACTGCTCTACCCAGCAAGGCTCTCAATTAAAATGGAAGAAAAAATAAGGAATTTCCCAAACAAAAGACAGCTAAAAGAACACACCTTCACCAAACCAGCACTGAAAAATATGCTAAAGGGACTGCTTTAAGATGAAGAAAAGGAGTCTATGAATACCCAGTTCTTTTCACAGTTGCCAATTCTTGATATTACCAATATTTTTTAATACATATTAATCTAATTGTGACAATGACGTGTTCTTTAATTGTTCTTTATTATTTGTTGAAACTAAACCTGTTTTTCTATAATCCTTGCCTGCTTCTATTATTTTTAAAAAGCTTTGGATGACTGTTTGTTATTATTTATCCATTTTTTGATGAAATGTTTGTAGAATTTTTTCCCTAAAATAACAAACAAAACAAACCATTAACACTTTTTTAGATGTGTTGCAAATACTTTCCTATTCTATTACTTGTCCTTTAACTTTTTTAATATGTATATTGCTGTACAGTGTTAAATGTTTAATATAGTCATATTGTCAATATTTTACCTTATAGCTTCTGGGTTTGACTATTTTACTTCAGGGTAAAAAAAATATTAGTTTGTATTTTCTCCTAAAACTCCTTAGATTTTACATATTGATTTTTAACTCACCTGAATATTTTTTGTATAATGTGTGAAATAGGGCTCTGTATTTGTTTTATTTCAAGTGATAGTGATCCATGCCCCTTATTTGTTAAATAAGCCTTATTTTCCCCATTGATTTGAAATATCAACTTAATCATATATTACATTGTTAGATATATATGTTTGTCTCTAGAAAGCTCATTATATTTCATTGATCTACTTGATTATTTCTGTGCTGGTGTCATGTTGTTTTAATTGCTGAGACTTTATAATGGTTTTAAATTTTTTAATATTTTATAATTAACTTTGACATTTAAAAAAATAAATAAAGTCAATCTGCATTTAAGAAAGAAAGAAAGAAAAAAAAGAAAGAGAGAGTGAGATGGAACTCCTACCTTTTGCAACAACATGGATGGAACTGGAGACTATTAAGCTAAGTGAAATAAGCCAGTGGATGAAAGACAAATACCATATGATCTCACCTATAAGTGGACTCTATTCAACAAAATAAACTAGCGAACAAAATAAACCACAGGCATGGAAACATGGAGCAGACTGAAAGTGACCAGAGGGGATGGGGAAGGAAGACAATGGTGGAAAGAAGGGGAAGGGACTAGACAAAGAACATGTATGAATGACCCATGGGCATGGACAACAAAGTGGGAATTGTCTGTGAGAGGGGGATGGGGGTGGGATGGGTGGAGGGGGGCAAAGGGGGAAAATTGAGACAACTGTAATAGAATAAACATGATTAAAAAAAGACACTGGCAGATTTGAATAACAAAGAATTCACACACAAGTCAGAGAATACACATCCATAGAAAAGGTTTAAAAGTATACTAAATTTTAAAAAAAAGAAAGGAAAGGTTTGAAGGGGTCTCAGAATCTCCAGCTAAGCTAATTGGTGTAAGTCTTTTCCTATACAAAGCCATTCCATAAAGAGTGGGAGAGATGCCTGTGTTTTCAAATGTGTGGATACTATCATGAAGTGACAAGGCACGGGAAGAACCAGGAAAACATAGCCCAATCAAAGGAACAAAATAAACATCCAGAAACCAGCCCTAAAGAAATAGAGGTTTATAAATGACCTGATAACAAATTCAAAATAACTGATATAAAGCAGCTCAATGAGCTCAAGAAAATGAATCATGAAAAAAATGAGAAAATAAGCAGAAATAGAAAATGTAAAAACCAAGCAGAAATTTTGAAGCATAAGATAGAAAAGTGAATTGAAAAATTTACTAAAGGGATTCAACAGTAGACTTGATCAAGCAGAAAAAAAAAAGCGATAAACTCAAAGACAGGTCATTTTATAGCAAGGGAAGTGTCTAAAAGCTGGTGGGGAGCCGAGCAAGTGGCATTGTTCCCTCTTAGATCCCTTGCCCACAATGCAGTGATCACAATGCAGTGATCCAGGTTGCCTCACCCTGGGGAATACCTAAGGCTCTGCCCCTTCCAATGTAACAGGTGCACTGAGACAAAAATATGGCCTAAATGAAAGGACAGATCAAAGCTCTAAAAACAGAACTGAGCAATTAAGAGATAGCCAACCTATCAGATGTATGGTTCAAAACACTGCTAATCAGGATGCTCACAGAAATGGATGATAATGGTTGCAAAATGAAGGAAAAAGTAAAGGCTATGCAAAGTGAAATAAAGGAAAATATACAGGGAACCAACAGTAAAGGGAAGGAAACTGGGACTCAAATCAATGATTTGGAGCAGAAGGAAGAAATAAACATTCAACCAGAACAGAAAGAAGAAGGAAGAATTAAAAAAAAATTAGACGCTTAGGAACCTCTGGGCCAACTTTAAATGTTCCAATATCCAAATCATAGGGGTCCCAGAAGGAGAAGAGGAAGAGTAAGAAATTGAAAACTTATTTCAAAAAACAATGAAAGAGGGCTACCCCAATCTAGTGAAGGAAATAGACTTCCAGGAAGTCTAGGAAGCTCAGAGAGTCCCAAAGAAGTTGAACCCAAGGAGGCACACACCAAGGCACATCATAATTAAATTATCTAAGATTAAAGATAAGGAGATAATCTTAAAAGCAGCAAGAGAAAACAAGACAGTTACCTACAAAGGAGTGCCCATAAGACTATCAGCTGATTTCTCAAAAGAAAATTTGCAGGCAAGAAAGGGCTGTAAAGAAGTATTCAAAGTCATGAAAGGCAAGGACCTAGCACCAAGATTACTTTATCCAGAAAAGCTATCATTTAGAATGGAAGGGCAGATAAAAGGCTTCCCAGATAAGGTCAGGTTAATGGAGTTCTTCATCACCAAACCCTTATTACATGAAATGTTAAAGGGGCTTATCTGAGAAAAAGAAGAAGATCAAAAACTATGAACAGTAAAATGACAACACAGTCACAACTATCAACAACTGAACATAAAAAACAAAAACAAACTAAGCAAACAACTATAACAGGAACAGAATCACAGAAATGGATTTCGGGGGTGGGGGAGAATGGGGGAAAAGGTACACAGAATAAGCAGCATAAATAGTAGGTACAAGATAGACAGGGGGAGAGTGTAGGAAATGGAGAAGCCAAAGAACTTACAAGTACGATCCATGGAACGAAGCGGGGGGATGCTGCTGGGAGTGGTGGTGCAGGGCGGAGGGGAATGAAAGGAAGAAAAAACTGGGACAACTGTAATAGCATAATCAATAAAATATATATATATTTTTAAAAATAAATATATATATGGTGCATTGATGACTATGATAATAGTATATTGTATGTTATTTATAATATGAAGCTTTTAATATAAAAATGGATAGCTATAGGAATTAATAAATATAAAATCACACTGAATACTTTATATTGGATTTTTTATACACAATGATCAGTGTTTTACATATTATCCGCTATTTGAATATTCTATGTCTTGAATCTAAAAGTGTGACCATTTTGAGCTCTAGTATGACTTTTAAAATATGAAAACTAATTTTTTTCTTACTTAACAATACATCCAACAGTTCTGAATCTTGTGCAACAGCAAATGAACAGTTAAGGGTATTATAAAGGAACACAAAATTGTTGGGAATAAGAAAAGCTGGGATCAAGTCTCTGTCTGTCTCGCTATGAAATTTTGGACAACTGCTACTCAGTTTCCTCAGGTTTATATAATGGATAATCATTATTACTTTGTAGGGTTCTTGTGAATATCAGATAAGATATGATCAGAATTTGGAAAAGGTAATGTGCTTATGAAAACATTAGATGTTCTTATATGTTTCTTTTAGATGTCTACATGTACTTAACAAAAGACTAGGTAGAAAAAATGGGAATAAAATGAAATTTCCAATTCATTAGGGCACTATACACTGCAAGCATTAGTGTACCAAAATGAGCACTTTGGAGCTCTGATTATACCGATTAACTCTCCATGATGATCAAATGAACCAGGAATTCTTCATCTTCGATGTATTGCTATAAAGTCATACTAAGAAGTATGTAACCAACCACATCATTAAAATGAAAAGAGTTCAGCAAACTGTCGGTTCTCTGATGGGACAGACATTCTCTTTTTCAATTTAGCTTCACGGAAGTTTCTAAGAAAAATTTCCTGGCCAGCTTAAATATGGAAAACTGAGAATGGACTTTTTAACAGTACAAGCACTGCCATGTCCTATAAAAATGTGTTTTTCTTGTATGAATGACCCACAGATACAGACAATAGTGTGGGGATTGATTGTGGGAGTGGCGGGTGGGATGGGCAGAGGGGGGCAAAGAGGGAAGAATTGGAACAACTGTAATAGAATAACAATAAAAAATGTAAGTTTTTAAGCATGTTTTGTATCTTGCTAATTTTCCCCATTCTTAAGCTTTTTCTTAAATCAAACATAATGTATGCCAAGTTTGAGAAGAAAATCAATTTCATGCTAAATTTAATAAAACTTTTATACTGACAAGCAACCCTAAATATATTTAATTATACCTAAAATATTAGAGATGAATATTTTAGTGTTTTGTTGAGAGCTTTTACAAGGAATTTGTTCAATAAAAACAATAATTAATACAATAAATTAAAAATAAGTACTTGTTTGAAATGTTTAGGGCTCATTTAATAATGTTTGAAACTGGAGATATGTACGCCTACCTGAGCGGCATGGGCTATTTTGGAGTCTTTCTTCTGTATTGGAGGCTTTCCATCTGCAGTCATTTCAATCATACGAGCAACCCCAGGGCTGCCAGCAGGCATCGTGAAGCTAGAAATAAAAAAGAAGAGGCCATTAATGTATGTGTTATTGCCAAGAACAGGGTAACTTCACACATGGGTGGTAAGTACTTCTTCAATGAGAGAGGTGCTTTCTGGATCACAATAATCCTGAAATATGGCCGCAACCAAGTGTGAACATTTTAGTATAGATAAAAGATATATTTCTTTTGAACACTGCATTTTATTCTCCTTGTCTCCTCCTGTCTTTAAATCAGGACTTGAAGTGCTTTCAGAAAGTTAAACTCCCACAAAACAAAAAGAACTTTATGTGTTTAAGTAGGTATTGATAAATTTTAAGTGCTAACTGTGGTTGACATATGGTCTCACTCACGTAGGGGATTGTTGGACAAGTAACACCAATGCTAAATGATGCTGAACTCCCTAGGTAGAAATTTCCCCTCCCTGGCCTACAGGGAGAATAGAAATGGAATAAGAAATGAAAGGCTGCATACCCTAGGGCAGTGAGATTACACTGTGATACAGTTATCAGAGCTCAGAAAGCATGCTGCTAATGCACTGGCTGGTAGTACTGCATTTCAGAGATAAAGAAAAGTATAAGGTTAAGGGAATCTGTGGAATGAATAGCAGAAATGGTCAATACATAATTGAAAATTTATCAGAGTTATAGAGCGATGCAATCAGATGAAAAGGTACACATATTAAAGTACATGGCATATTTTTAAAATAGAATTTTAAAAGATAATTCAAATGATATTATCCTGTCACTTGACATATGTAATAATAGTAACTTGCACTGTTACAAAGTCTACTTCATAGAGATATTAGGAAGTACATTTGCTAAAACTAACAGTGGCAGTCTCTGCATACTGAATGTGTGAATGATTTTAATGCTCACGTTTATTTATATTTTCTAAATTTTTGACAATGAGCACACATATTTTTAATTTTTAATTTTAACCAACTGCCCTAACTTGTCTAGGATTGTGAGAGTTCCCAGGACATGGGACATTTTGTGCTTAAATCAGTAAAGTTCCAGGCAAACAAGATCAGTTGGTAATTCTACTTTTCAAATAAAAAGTCACTTGTATTAAACACTCATTGGTTAAATCATTTACCAATCCTTCTTCTTAAAATTAACTTTGGAGACTAAGTGGAATGGAAAAACAAACTGGAACGCCGTTCATTCCCTCCTTCCCCCAAAAGAGACAACTGTCTGCTGATTCTCTTTTCCTTCTTACCTAGAAGTACAAATCTGATATACAAATCTGATATGGTCCCAGCAATACATCATTCTGCTGCTTTTTTTTTTTTTTTTTGGCTCCACTATAGTTTACCAATGTCACTTCTAATTCTGATCAGATCACCGTTTAAAATTCTAGAAATGACTTCTAGAGTATCCCATCTGCGTGAACTGCATATGGTGAGGCTACGTGAAGCATAGTTACTGTCCTAATTGATACGGGAAGGTAAATCTGTAAGATGCTTTACACTGGAAATGGAGGAAACAGTTCTGAGGTAATGCACATGTCCTCATTCAGAAATAAGATCTTTTTGTTTTGCTTCATTCAGAGCCGATTAAAAATCTAACCCTGAACTGCAGATCTACAAAAGGAAGCCCCGCTACTCTGTTTGCTTGCTGCTACTTTCTTCCTTTTCCCCTGACTTTCCCATCAAATGGTTGTTCCTGTTGTCTGCTTAGTCTATTTTAGAAATTGGTACTCTATCCCACCAGAGACTTTTTCCCCACATGTAGATTCTTATCACGTTCATTTTATGTCTCATATTTGCTTATAGAGCAAATTATATCATAAGACACAAAACATGCTCTATAAACAAATTAGACATTATGCCACATAAATCATTTGAGGAAAAATCTAAATGCATATCCCTTATGTCTCTCAAGTATTGCTGAGGCTAGCCGAATCTAATGATTTAAAGACTCAAGGATCATATTTTGAGATAATCCATTGACTGGCTGAGTGATCGTAGACAAACCACTTAACCTTTCTTCCCTGAAGTGTGATTATCCACAGAAGGGAGATAATCATTCTTAGCTCCTAAATGGTTAGTAAGAATCACGTTATTTAATGTACATAAATCATTCAGTGCTAATATTAAAATCCAAAGTTAAAGCAATTATTTGCTGACTAGACAGGGATCTCTAAAGAGATTTTTATGAAAATAAATTACACACTCAAACTGAAGTGTTCGTTTTCTTCTACTAACATTGCTTGTAATGGAATTCAAAATTAAATACTCAGATTGTATTATTTTAAAAATTAAAATTTGATGAAACAGACATATTTTTCAGCATCCTTAACATTCTTGTTCATTAGATTTATAGTTTTTAGGGATGCTAAGCAATTTTGCAGAAACACTCAGATTCAGAAGAGACAAGTTATATAAAATTTTTGGAAGATGCTGCTCAAACTGGAAGTTTAGGATATCTAAGAGCAAGGAAAGAGTTGTAAAAATGAAAGCAATGGAGAGTGAACTGGTGAACTAAATCAAGTACTTTTATACAATTGAATGCTACCAAGCTTTTAAACAGAGATTGCAGAATAACAATTAATAGAATGGAGAGATATTTGTATAAACTATATTAAAAAAAGATAAAGACACTTTAGATGGTATATCATTTTTATAAAAATATGCATAGAAATTATACCAGAACTACTGCAACTAGTATCACCAGTGGCTATGTTTTCATATGAATGAGAAGGATTTTTAATATCTTTTTTGAATATTTACATTTTCTAAATTTTGAGATTGAACATAGATTTTAAATTTCACCTCTTAGAACATGAAAAAATAATTTTTATAAAAAGAAAATCAAGGGTTAAATAATTTAATAACATTTTCCTGTTTTCCTGAGTTCCCTGCCTTCCTTGCAACTACGCCTCTCCATCAGTCTCCTTGCTAAGTCCATCTCTAATAGTCCTAGTAATGAGAATTTGTGGATAGCAAACTCACAGTCATATCACCTCTGGACAATAGTGTAATAATGTATACAATTTTACATGTTTTTTTCTTTTAGAACTTTAAACATAGTACATGATTATTTTCTGCAGTCTGTTGCTGCTATAAAGTCATTATCTATTCCATTTAAAGGCTGTTCTTTTGTTCTTTTAACTTTTCTTTCTACAGCTTTAAGATCATCTTTTCATCTGTGATAATGTTTAGGTGTGGATCAATCTTTACTTATTCTTTTAAATTAATACTCCAAGTGTACTTTTGATCTCAAGAATTATATATATATACCTTAAATTTTGGAAAACTCTTACCTGAATCGCCTCAAATATTGCTTTCTAACAGTCTCTGAAATCTCTTTTTTAATAATTTTTCTCGAACTTATAGAAGACATTTTTAGGAATCCTCTTAAGTTGTTTTCTAAACTTTTAAATCTTGCTTTCAATAAAAAAATATTCTTTTCATTATCTTAGGCACCATTTTCCCCACTCAACAATCTTCAGGACCATTTATTCTACTTACTGTGTTTTAAATTTCAATGAATATGTTCTTTTATCTCCAATAGTCTGAATCCTTTGAATATTTTTGGTGTTAACTTGATTTGTTTTTATAATTTCTCCTTTAAAATAGATGTTGTTCTTTCATTTATGCTTCCTAGCATCCTAAAAATACTTATTTTAGTTTTTGTCAGACTTTTCCATAAAATGATTTTATTAGAGCGATTCACTTTTCATTTGATGATTTGCTTGTTTCATTGCTTAGTCTTGCCATATGTTCTGATATTGTACTGTACAGGCCCATTTTGAGTGGGAGTATTTTTGTTTTTCTCTCTTCTTCCCCACTTATGTGAACCTCCTTCTGTGATCTGCTGCACTCAACCCTGCCTGCCTCATGAGAACTCTACCTGCTCCTCTGATCTCACTTTGATCAGCACCTAAACTGGAATCTTGGATAAAGGCTATTTGGTAGTTCTGTCTGATGATGATATTAAAGGTACTCACAGGTCCATTCACAGAACTAAAAATGATTACTTAGTGCATTTCTGCTCATGATACTTTGTCTGTATTCTGTTTCCTTCCTGTGCTGACAGCTTGCTAAAAGCCAAAATCCCAGATGATTGTGTGTGTGTGTGTGTGTGTGTGTGTGTCTAAAATCTTTCACAAATATCCCTGAGTAGTTTTAGTTCCCTTTGCCCTATTGAAGGTGAGCTTCCCTGTTTCCAGACCTGTATTATGGTAGGCCTGCAGTATTACCTCTTTCACTACTTTGCATTTTTGTCTCTTTCTTGTTTGAGAAGATATTTCTTTTGTTTTATATTTTAATGTATATTTGTAAACATTTTCTCTATTGTTGCCATGTGTTTGACACTAAGAAGGTGCATCAAACTGGGAAGTTATAGACTAATCTTGACTAGAATTCCCACCTTTTTATTCTTTCATAATAAGAGAAGACAATAATAAAGATCACACTAAGTCCTTGCCTTTGAAGGGCCATGTAAATAGAAAGTTATTGTTAATTTGTAGAGGCAGAATGAAGAAAAATTAAACAAGCCATTTGGAGGTACTTTTATGACTTTACAGCCTTTAAATTTGGAGAGACTAATTTTTTATCCTTTTACACCTCAGAGTTGTTTTTGTGCTTAAGACATTTCAATACATCTGTCTCACACTATTTTTCAGTGGTGTATTTCAAAAGCACATAAGTGGTTTGTTTGCCTTCTAGAGAGAAATAAGAAGTATGGATTTTTTCTTCTCTGAGGTACCTGTTTGGTTTGTCAAATCTCGGAGTTTTATGAGTCATTGGCATTAAACCATAATGAAATTAAATACTTTAAAGGACTATTGCAGTTTCTGATGAAGGCTCACAAAGCATAGCTCATGCATAATTGCAGCAGCTATAGTGTTTTGAAACCATGGTATAACAGTAACAAAACTGAAGAGCACCAACTGCTTCTAGGAAGTATTGTGAAAAACAATACTGAATGCTTTTACAGGTGCAAAGTATACATGTACTTTCTCTTGTCCGGCTATTTTCCAGCAATGATGCTAGCCTATTTTA